CAGGGGTGGGCCTTGCATAGGGATAAGTGCTATTTAATTTTTTTAATTGGCAAATAGAAATTATATATGTTTTATATTCTTCAACATGATGTTTTGAAAATGGCTAAATTGAGCTAATTAAGTGTTTTTCCTGAGGTCTCTTCTTCAGCAGTACATATCGCATTGTCTTAAAATCCAAAGCATCTCTCCTGAAAGACAATATATACTGTTAGAGCAAATATGATGTCTTTATCTTTGTCCTCTGGTACTTATCACAGTTCCTTTCATGTGATATGTATTATGTATTGTTTATTGAATTGAAATGAATTAGTAAATAATTTTGATTGTGCATATACTTTGCTTTATTTATTTATTAGTTGTTGTTGTTGTTGTTGTTGTTGTTGTTGTTATTTTGAGACAGAGTCTCCCTTTATCACGCAGGCCGGAGTGCAGTGGTGCCGTCTCGGCTCACTACAACCTCCGCCTCATTGGTTCAAGTGATTCTTGTCCCTCAGCCTCCTAAATAGCTGGGACTACAGATGTGCCACTACCATGCCTGGCTAATTTTTGGCATTTTTAGCAAAGATGAAGTTTCACTGTGTTGGCCAGGCCAGACTCAAACTCCCAGTCTCAGGTGATCTGCCTGCTTCGGCCTCCCAAAGTGCTGGGATTACAAGTGTGAGCCACTGGGCCCAGACTGCTTTTTTGGTTTAAATTTGATTGATGAACAAACTTTTGCTTCAGGGTAAAAGGACAAATTTTAGGAATGTTAGTACTCTGCAGAAATTTAGACTAGTGAATCAGGCAATAAGTAGACTTTGGAAATTTTTGAGCAGGGGAGTGGCACTGTAAAAGTGGTATTTAAGGAAGCTTGATCTGTAGACAACCTTTTATTATGGGCTTAAACCACTGCTGGCAAGCGTGGGTGGGGGTCGCAGGGGTGGAGGAGAAGGAGAGGCAAGGGTTTAAAGCCATGCTGAGGAACAGCTTCCTGTGTCTTTGTACTTTCATTTCCACATTTGCTCAAGTGGGATGCACTTGCTGGCATGTTTCCAAAAATAAAATAGAGTGCTGGGGTTATTTTTATTTTTTTTAAAAGAATAAGATCTTGTAAAACACCTAAGTGAGTCATTTTACATAATGATCTGAGACATATTCATTATTAATTACTTGGGAAGAGTGATTATGAGTTCAAAATTTTTAAAAAAATAATTAGCATCTACATAGCTAAGCTACAATCTCCCAAAGTCAGTGAAGGTTTTTAATTTGGCATGTTTTAAAATGGGTGTTAATTATGCGGAAAATACTTCAGTTAGGTTTTTCCATCAGGTTTTACTTTACAGTTTAACATCTCCCTTCTGACTGTAGTTTCTCCCATGGGCATTTGCATTTCATATTTGACTCATGTGACAATGTTTCCTGGTTAAAGTTTATTTTTCATTTGTTTTGGTCCATGTAGCTCTACTCCATTTTATTCTTCACATTGGCCAGTGTAAACTTTTAAGTTTACAGTTACTTTGTTGTTTTCTCTTACAGGGTTATGACTCCCTGATTAAAAAGAAGGACTTTTTCAAATACTTTGCACTTCTGATTGTGTATTATGGATACCAAGGAAGAGAAGAAGGAACGGAAACAAAGTTATTTTGCTCGGTAAGCATTCATTTTACAAAATTGCCATCAGTACTTTAAAGAAATATTTGAGGGGACTTTGTCCTCAAGGATTACTTGGCATTTTGTGTTTTGTGCTTGTTCATAAATAGAGCAGGTAACCAGAAGTAAACTATACTTCATCCATTTTATTCGTATTAGAGGAGTAACATTTGGTTCTTCTCTTTCTAGTTTTGACGCTTCTTTCAGGTGACTGTCACTCAGAGAATCCAGCTCTCATGCTCTGACCTGCAAATTGCTCCAGATCCCATGTTTAGCAACCTACCTTGAATTTTAAATCCTAAGTGCTTAGCTCCTACTGTTCCGTAGCTTAATTGGTTGAGCTGTAACTAAAAAATCTCTGACACATTTAAAGCTTCTCACCTTGTGGGGTGTCTGTTACTAAAAAATATTTTTGTAGATAGATGAAATGGGTGAAATTATATTTTTGAATATAATTTCAGTGTCATTTTTAAGGCTGGAACTTGTTCAACATAAATAAATTTGTTGATATCTGAAAAGAAGTAATTTAATGCATGAATTTACTATTTACAGATTTAAATGTCTGTGTGGCAGTCATTCACTAATCATAATAAAATGAATTACATGCTAAACATTTATGAAACATTTTGATAAGCCAGAATGTTTTCAGACTCGCAGAACATAGGCGTAAAATGATCATTATGTTTCTCCTACATTGAAATGCGTCTTAAGGACTGAATTTAGCCTCATTCCATCCCCAGTCCCCAGGCTGTGCTCATTAGAGATGCATTTATTGTTTTCTAAATATGAGCCTTGGAGCCAAAACCAAAGTTTATTGTTGATATTTTTATCTGGTAATTAAGCTAGATTTTTAGGTTGATAATGGGAAAAGGAAGGAAACAATTTAAGGGCCTACTATGTACTGAGTGCTTTACTTATTATTTTAATTGTCTTCAAGATAAATCTATGACATTGGTTAATTTATCTCCATTTTACCAGTGATCCAGCTAAGACTTGGAAAGTATTTTGTCCATTTCCTAAGAATCAGTATTAAACATAAGGCCATCTCCAAAAGGCATGTTCCAGTTAGGAATAGTAAACCATGGATAAGGGTTTTGGGGAAGCAGGAGTTAAACTACCAATTGTAGTAAAATATTTTCTGCTCGTAGGATTACAGAGAGTAACCAGATTAGGGAAGGAAGAAATCAGGCATCTAATGGATGAGACCCCAGAAAGATAGGATATGTAGAATAAATCAGATGTACAAAACTGTTTATCCTGAGATAATTTTACATTCACATGTAGTTAGTTGTAAGGAATAATAGATACCTGTATTCTTTATCTGTAGTACAATATCACAACTATGAAATTCACACTGATGCAATCCACCAACCTTACTCAGAGCATTCATTGTATGTGTATTTGTATGTATTTAGTTCCATGCAAGTTATATCACATATGTAGATTTCCATGGTCACCATCAGTCAAGATACAGAACAGTTCCATTAAAAGGATCCTACATGCTACCTTTTTGGATTCCTACTCACTACTTCCATTTACCTGCCTCCTCTGACAACCACTATAATTTGTCATTTCAAGAATACTACGTAAATGGAATCATATAGTATGTAACCTTTGGCATTTAGCTTTTTCCCCTTAGGCGTAATTCCCTTGACATCCCTCAAAGCTGTTGCATGTTTAAGTAGTTTGTTCCTTTTTATTGCACAGTAGCATTCCATAGTATGGATGAGTCACAGCTTTTTAGTTGTTTACCCATTGAAGGTCATTTAGGTTGTTTCCAGTTTGAGCTATTTATGAACAAAGATGCTAGATGCTAGAATCATTTATGTACAAATTTTTGTATGAGCATGAGTTTACATTTCCCTGAGATAACTGTCCAAGAGTGCAATTGCTGGGTCAAATGGTAGGTGTATTTTCAGTTTTATAAGAAACTGTAATACTCTTTTCTGAAATGGTTGTAACATTTCACATTCCCATCAGCAAAGTTGAAGTGATCCAGTTTCTCTGCCTTGTCACAAGCATTCGGTGGTGTCAGTATTTTTTATTTTAGCTATTCTGATAAGTATGTAGTGATATCGCATTATGGTTTTAATTTGTATTTCCTTAATGCCTAGTGAAGTTGAACATTTTCTTGTGCTTATTACTAGCCATATGTATATCTTCTTTGGTGGAATCTCCTTTTCTATCTATCTTTTGCCCATTTTCTAATTGAATTGTTTAGGTTTTTACTGGTGAATCGTACACGTTCTAGTATTTTGTTGGTTATGTGGTTTGCAACTATTTTCTCCTCATGTGTAGTTTGTCTTTTAATCTAATTGACAGAGTTACAAAGCAAAAGTTTTTAATTTAGATGTGGTTCAATTTATCAATTTCTCTTTTTATGAATTGTGCTTTTGGTCTGAATTCTAAAATCTCTTTGCCTAGTTCTATGTTCTGAAGATTGTCTACTGTTTTGTTTTGTTTTTTCTAAAAATGTTAAAGCATTATGTTTAAAAATTTAAGACTGTGATCCATTTTGAATTTATTTTTGGATAACATATGAGTTTAGGCCAAGATGGTGGTCATCCTTCTCCTCCCCCTCTCCCTTCCTCTCTTCCTCCCTTTCTTCCTGCTCTTCTTCCTCCTCTTCCTCCTTCCCCTTCCTTTCTTCTCCCCTCTCCTCCTTCCTCCTCCTTACTTTCTTCTTCATCTTTCTTTCCTTTCTTCTTCCTCACATGCCCTACATAGTGATTTTAAAAGCTATAGTGCCTTCTCAGTCTGAATCCAAAGCAATTCCTGTAGTAAAGGTAACTGCCGGTTCACAAACAACCTGTTAAATGTTAACCTCTTCTTGTTCCTGAAATGTAGAGTCAGGGGAGCCCCTGAAACTGAAAAGACAAACAAAAGCTGTTCTGGAAGAGCAGCAGTTTTTTCAGCTCAGAAATGTAAAATTGTCATGCTTATGACCTCTTCTGAGAAGCATTCTGACAGTGAAACAAAAAGCATATCCAAAAATGCTGAAGTATGATCTTGGGAGCATAGGGACAGTGGCACAAGCGCAAAATCAGTGGTGCTGTTAAGACAGTAAGACAACATGATTTGTAACTAGGAAATGAAAAAGATAGAGGGAGAGAGGAGAACGGAAAGAAGAGGGGGTGAGAGCAGGGAGAGAAAGGGAGAGAAACGCTGACCAACAAACCTGTAGTTTAGCTCTTACAATGCAGTGAAAGCCAGAAATGGTCAAGCTGTTAAAAGTATAAGACAAACCAAAGAAAAAAGAACCCCTTGCAACCTACGATCAGCAAAGAGTCATCCGAAGTTATACATCTTTTCGAATGGCTTCTGGCTTAACTGTGGAATTATCATAAAGTGGAATTAGCTACAGAACTTACTTGAAAGCCAGTTTCTGACAACACAGGGCAGAGTTTTCTGGAACAGCATGCTTAAGGGCAGTCCAAGCAAGATCTCTAGAGGGAAGGATAAAATGTCAGGCCAAGGGTGAGGCCAAATTGATGCAATCACAGTTTTCTCTGAGCTATATTATGCCGCTTTACATAAATCTCAACTAGTGTTCAGAGGAAGTCAAAATGGAAATTTACCCGGACTTTGTGCCTGCTGCCACAGTTATGTATCTGAAAGCCCTAAAAACTGCTTTTTAGACTGTTTCCTCCTTCTACCTTGCCTTTTTCCTCCTGAGTAGTTAAGTAGCCAATGTTTTCTTTGTGTGCTATCTTATCCTGTGGTTTCACAATCATTGCATGACTGTGTTTGGTAAATAGTCCTTTGCCAAACCTGTTTTGTTGATGTTTTCCTCTTTAAGTTTAAATCAAAGCAAAGTTTAAAATAGGCTATTTTAATAATTTTGAATGGAAATTAGTGATTTGAGGGTCACCTAGTCTTTCCTTTTTTATAATTTATCTTGAAATATGCCTGTGTAACTAAATAGAGGATGGATTAATACTACTACTAGACAGAGTAATTCTGGATAAGACCTGATGAATTTTTAACATTTTCTGACCCTGGTCCACCTAGTTTTCAAGAGCTTCAGGATACTTTTGTACCAGTTGTTAAATCTAGACTGATTTGTGAAATCATTTGTGTATTAATTTCTTGATCCCTGACAGATCTTGAAAACCAAATGAAAAACTGAATTACTAATGCAAATTATACTTTCTGTACTATTTGTACTGTGTACAATTTATACTATCCTCTGGGGTGACTGTCATGTGTCGTTTGTTACACCTCTGCTGACTCTTCCTTCCCCTTATAGTTAGAATGCAGATATTTCTTCTTTTTTTCTTTTTTTCTGCATAGACATCATGTTCAACCTGAGCACGTATTTCTTTAGTAATGCCACACAGGGCTCTCTTCTTACACACTTGCTTGGCATTATTTGGCTTTTGTGATTTTTGAGTAGGTCCTTGTATGCTATTGGTTGAAGGTTCTTTGAAAGCATTTTTTTCAGGATCAAGGGTTATTTGAAGATATCCAAAATACATCTGTAGTTGAACCACATGGCCTTTTGTGGGAGGTTTGCTTCTCCCCTCCGATAAAGAGTGAGAGGGCCTGGGAGTAAACAGTGAATAATATAGACACAGACACAGACTGGGTGTTCACGTAGGTCCCTTGCTGGCTCCCACCTCCCCTATTCCCTGGTTGTCATGAAAAGCAGAACTGCTGCTCCCACCTATGCTTTCCTTTAACCCAGCCCCTTCAGAGCAGCATTAGGAGCCTGCACCACCTCTGTCGTCATTCTTAGTGGCAAAGGATGCAAATGTAGAACATTTCTTAGCTCCCATCTCCAGCCTCTGCCCTGGCAATTCTTCACCCTTGAACCTCATCCCCACCAGCAGAATACCTAGTGTTTTGCAGTTCACTCCAGCATATAACCTCAGGCAAGTTTTCTAAGCTTCTTTTACCTTACATTTCTTCAGTTGTTAAATGTGGCTAAAAGTAACTCACTAACAAGATGGTTTTGAAGAAGGAGACATCCCAGACAGTCAGAACTGGAGAGAGGCTCAGATGGGACCCAGCAAGGAGGGTCAGAGCTGAACAGCTGGTCCCCTTATTCTCTTTTGCATGGTGGAGGAGATTTGAACCCACTGTATAGCCTTTTCTATTATGTGCCTAGTACACTCTGTAGCTTTCTTATTCAAGTAAAATGAAACGAAGGTGGCTTTTGCTGAATGATTGGAGCAATGAAACCAAGATTGCTCCACTGCCCTCCAGCCTAGGCTGTGAAGAGTCATATATTGAGGGAACATATGACCAGTACCTGGCACAGTAAGTACTCACACATTCCTTTAATAACAAATTATTCCTGACCTTACTTCTGTGTCTACTTACATCTTCACCTAATTCTCATCTTGACACCTCACTTTCAGCCCGCGAGCTACTCTTGTTCAGATCAGGGAAGAAGGAACACTTAATGACAATCCAAACTGGAATTATATCGTTTTCCAAAGATACTTTGCTATGAGCACAGTGAGGTTCTGGAATATAATGACGTGGAATTATATAGTCAAAGGGCCTTGAGAAATCTAACAGCTTTTTATTTAGTAGTTGGACCCTAAGCCTATGAGGTTAAAGGGTCCTTGATGTGTTGGCTGTATCCCAGGGTATTTGTAGATATATTAATTGGTCATCAGAGCCTCACCACTTGTGTGGCTTGATAAACTGTCATATATCAGGTTGGCATGCCAGACATACTGACCCCCTCGGTCCTCAGAGTGGCCAGGCAGGGATTGGGTTTGTCAGAAACCTGGGCTGGTCATCTTTAGCTATGATCAGCATCTTACCCCAGGGATGAGTAGAAGTGTTATGATCTTTGTGCATGCCTTGATATGAAAAAGGCTTGTGAAAACTGATCCAGATTATCTTCACACCAAACATCTGATTTTAAAAAATCCATCTCTAAGTATAATTTAACTCCTATGGGAGTTTATACTCAAAGGGGTTGAATAACTTCACTGAGCTAGAAGTAGGCATATCGGGATTTGAACTCAGGTCTGCCCTTCCCCATCCAGGGTTTATGCTGTGCAGTGCTGTCCAAGGCCTCGTGGCCCTTTAGTGGCAAGACGGGGCTTGTAGAACGCAGGTCAGTTGACTTGCTGCTACTCCCCACGTGGGTTGCGTAGATTTCTATGGGCAGTCCTGACAACTGAACATTAATTTCCACCAGTGTAAGTTAATTAGGAGAAATGCATCATGGGTTCTAAAGATCTAACTTATAAGTGACCATTTCAAAAATAATTTGTTTATAACTTGACAACATCCCATAATCCATGTCTTGTCAACTTATTCATCTATAATATGGTTAATGTCAGAATATTAACCTACCAAGCCAATATGCAACATGCAGTCTGTATACTTCACCTGTGTAAGTCAGGGTGTTGCATTACAGTGATCCACTTTACTCCTTTTTTTTTTTTCTTTCTAGGGACATTTTTATTTTGTCACTCTGTGATAAAGGACAACATTAATTTTAGTCTCAACATATCTGTTAAATTCCAGACATCTACAAGCAGGCAATGATCCCTTCTCTGTCCAGCCAGAAATAATCTGAAAATAATTTATTATGTATTTATAGGATATATATGTGTGTGTATATACAGTTTATAATTCTAAGTTTATAAATATGCTCATATATATAACCTTATACATATAAAGTTACAGTTTGGATTAATAATAATTAGGCTAATAAAATGCAATTAACTGAGAGAAAAGAAGAAATGAGCTGATTTGAGACCTGAGAATATAAAAATGAGTGTAAGGACTTAAATCACAATCAAGAAAAGCAGTGGGGAGAGGACAAGAGAAAGACACGCCTGGAGCCTCGCCTTTACTCCTTAAGATTGCATCTTGTCTAAAAAGAGTAGGTGCCCGTGATAGAAATGAATACAGTAATACATTTGTACAGAAAGCCTTCCTTTGTCCCCTTGGTCAAATACAGAGTCTGAAGTCCAGTGTCAGGCATCACGTGGATGGATCTGGGTGGTTGATCTGCAGCACTGGTGGAGCACGGCGGCGTGTGCTCCGTGGCTTCAGCCCCACAGAGGCAGTCTTTGAACCCTAGGAAGCAGCCATCTCTTTGTGGTATGCCAGTGCCAAGAATGATTATACCATGTGGGTGGAGTGGTGTGATATGAACCCTTGCCCTTTCTTTAGTTAACTGTAGATTGTTTTTTCCTGCTGGCCAAGGGCTGTTAGAGATTTATCATCTTTAGTATGTCTGACATTTGAGGAGAAATTTATTACCCATTGTTGGAATCAGATACTCAGTCATAGCACAGGTTTAATTGTGTTGATACATGAAAAGCAAACAGAACAGTTTTAAGTACTTGCTAAATGTTAGCTTTATACCTTCTTAAGATTTGGTCATTTTATTCTATCAGTTTCACTATGCCTACTGATTCTAATAGAAGTAAATAACAGATTCTAATAGAAGTTAATGGTTGGTACTTTACGAAGTACTTTCACAAGGATTCTCTTTATTCTTATGATGATCCTACAAGTAAATATAAATGCAGGTAATGAATCTGTTGTTCAGCAGGTGAAATATCTTGTCCCAAATCACTTAGCTTTAAATGGAGGGCCTAAGCCCCAAATCCTTGTCTGCTCCTTCTACATCTCTGAGTGTTTCTCTTCCTGTTACTTCAGTTTGCATTGCACTAAGTATTAGTGTTTGCTTCTTCTGAAAGGGGGATTAGAACATGTATTTAGGGCCAAGCGTCATGGCCCATGCCTGTAATCCCAGCACTTTGGGAAGCTGAAGCAAGCGGATCACTTGAGGTCAGGAATTTGAGACCAGCCTGGCCAATATGGTGATACCCCATTTCTACTAAAAGTATAAAAATTAGCTGGGCATGGTAGCACATACCTGTAATCCCAGCTATATGGGAGACTGAGGCAAGAGAATCACTTGAACCCTGGAGGAAGAGGTTGCTATGAGCTGAGATTGCTCCACTGCCCTCCAGCCTAGGTGACAGAGCAAGACTACATCTCAAAACAACAAAACAAATCAAAACAAAAACCAGAACATGCTGTTAGCATCATAATGTGATAAATTTTAAAGAAATTGTATGTGGGCATGGAGGGAGAATGTTGCAGTTGACTTTACCAGAAACATTATTGGATTTCAATGTCGAAGTGCCTTCCATCCAAGATGAACTGATCCACAGCACTGCTCAAGGATACTTTCTTGCATGATTTCCATAGCTCTTACTTGTTTATTGGGTTTACAGTCATCTCCCCACAAATGGACATCTGGAAGGTGGAGACTCTACCATCATTCATTATTCTGTCTGTGGGCCTATTAGATAGTGGTTGGCATATAACAAGTGTTAAGTATTTGTTGATCAACTGACAGAATATTCAAAACAGTTTCTTTAAGGTAGGATATAAATAGTTTGTGAATTTTAATTTTTATCACTACAAATT